CCAGCTCGTCATTTATACGTTGTTCTGTTGTTGTCTGGCAGGTACACGAAGGGCATGCACTCACTCGAACATCGCGGATCCTTCCGCTATTTTGCTTTGCTATACATTACCGATCTAACCAGACTGGACTTATCCCAGCTCGTCATTTATACGTTGTTCTGTTGTTGTCTGGCAGGTACACGAAGGGCGTGCACTCGCTTGAGCATCGCCGATCCTTCCGCTACTTTGTCGTCGAGAACTCGACGATCCTCGGCATGCTGGAGCAGCCGCTGGGCAACGATCAGGACCCGCTGCCGACCGTCGTCGTCATCAACCGCTCGCCGCAGGGCCGTCACGCGTGGATGATGCAGCTACGTCAGCTGTCGCGCAAGAAGGTGTGTGTGTGTGTGTGTGAGGAAGGGAGTGTGTGTGTGTGTGTGTGTGTGTGTGTGCGTGCGCGTGCGCGTGCGCGTGCCCGTGCGCGTGCGCGGTGCGCGTGTGCGTGTGCGTGTGCGTGTGCGTGCGCGTGCGCGTGCGCGTGCGCGTGTGCGTCTGCGTCTGCGTGTGCGTGTGCGTGTGAGTGTGCGTGTGTGTGCATGCGTACGTGAGTGCAAGTTTGTGCGTGCGTGCGTGTGCGTGTGTGTGCATGCGTGCGTGCGTGCGTGCGTGCATGTATGAGTGTGCGTGTGTGTGCGTACGTGAGTGCAAGCTCGTGCGTGCGTGTGTGACCTAATTAAATACCACACACTTATATTTACAATCAAATACATCTTTTCTCCAAGTAAAAGACTGTTTCAGAACATGTATTTGTATTTGAATAATATGCAATAAAGATTTAATAATAATAATAGACATTTCGAAATCAGCGCACTTGAAACATCTCAAATGAGTTCACACGTGAGTTGAGCTGCCCGATCTTTAGGCAGATAATCTAGACCCACGAGTGATCGCCATGATCACCACGATCACCACGATCACCAGGATGTGAGACGAAGTGGCGGGTGGGTCGAGTTGACCGGTGCCTTTGCCTCGCTTTATTATTTCAGTCGCTGCAGGCCGGCAGCCGCTCCTTCCTCGTGCCGCCGCCGCGGCCGCAGCCAAAGGACGACTGCGGCACGCACTACACCATCAAGCAGAGTTACTTCCCCGAGTCCGTCGATAACATCCCGCAGACGCGCGCGTGAGTTGTGACGCGGAGATGCGCGGAGACGGCCATTTTCCCGGTCGGCTGCTCGCGCAAAACTTTGCGAAGTCGTTTTGTAAAATCATATAAATTATTTATATATAACTATTTATATTATCACATATATATATATATAATATTATAATAATAATAATAATATAATAATAATAATAATAATATGTTTATTATATATATATTATAATATATATAGTCAAATCTTTATTATAGAGTCGAGACATTTCTTCAATGGTCATTTTTGGCATTTACCTTGCATGGCAGGTAAGGCATACAGTAAAATTACCTGTATAGAATAGATAGGTATCTGTAAGGATGTTTTAATTTAGAATTCACTTCAGTAACCCTGATATGTGGATTTGACTGTATATACGATAGGATGCTATAGTTGAGCAGTAATATCTGTCAGTCGAGAATGACGCCTTAGCACTAGATGGCCACTTAGCACTAGATGGCCACTTTGCCAGTAGATGGTTGCCTTAGCACTAGATGGCCACTTTGCCAGTAGATGGTTGCCTTAGCACTAGATGGCCACTTTGCCAGTAGATGGCCACCCATAACACGACCGTCCACATGCAACGCCACCTGGCAGTCCGGCAACAATCACATTCGGCGTTGTCTCTCGCGCAGAGAAAAGAGCATCCCGACGCTGTCGTCGCTCGTCACCGAGGCCCGGGCGGAGGAGTACGCGCGCACGGAGTCGTTCGTGCAGCAGCAGGTCAACTTCGAGGCGATGGTGAGGAACCGAGCACCGAAGGGCGTCACCGCGGCAACGGACTGCCAGCCGCCGGGCGTCTGCCACGAGTTCCAGACGGCGCGTCTCGCTCTCTCCCACCTCGGCTTCCTCTCGCTGGAGGCGCTCAAGGTCAGAGGTCAAGGTCAAAAGATGCGCGGGTTGGGGTGTGGTGGGCGTGTTGGAGGTCATGGGTGGTTTATCTGTGTGGGTGGGGTGGGGGGGGCGAAAGTAGGGAATAAAGTAGGGGAAAGGTCACAAAGTAGAATTGTGGCAGGCTGAATACAGTGATGCGATAATTTAACTAACTAACCTAGACTTTAGGTTTGTAAAATGCTACTTTAAATACTACAACAGCAACTCTTCCCACCTATCTTAACTATCCACATTGGTCAAAAATCTCGAAACAGTTGTGTACCATCTTTTCGTGTCATTCAGAGCGCCAACAACAAACCATCTTAATATAATATATTATATATCATCTTAATCAAGCATATTTGGAGATTACGCAAAAGTAAGAATAAAGAAATAGGACTACCACATGTCGAAACTATACCCATTCTTTGCTAACCATTCACAGCTATTTCCTCAGAAGCCCTACTAGAAACAAACCGAGTGGCAGCCCACTGCATAGCCCCTATCCAGGCCCTTCATTTTTATACTTTTATTACATATTTTATATTATATATTTATATTAATTAATTATATTATTTTTATATTTATTATATTTTATGTTTATATATATTTAATTATTTATATTAATTATTTATATGTTTTATTTCCACCGTGTTTGCGACAGAGTTCGGACAACAGTCCCGTGCCGTCGCTCATCGCGCTGGACTCTGGCGCCGACGCGCTGCACGCGGACGTGGATGCACTCGACACACTGCGCAGCCGCACCAGTGACACCCTGTTCGTCTTCTACGTACGCAGCGGACAGAAAAACGTCGACGAGATACTCGCTAACGCGGTAAGCGACGACGGCGATGGCGGGAGGAGAGGGGCGGTCGTGGTCAACGTCTGCTACTCTCTCCTTGGTTTTCACACTACTCTGCTTAGTTCCCACTACTCTCTTCTTAGTTTCCTCTACTCGCTCCTTAGTTCCCACTACTCTCTCCTTAGTTCCCACTACTCTCTCCTTAGTTCCCTCTACTCGCGCCTTAGTTCTCACTACTCGCTCCTTAGTTCATGACGTAGTGACAGGGAGGGTGACAGTAATGGCAGTGACATTGGTGATGACAGTGATGTAATGACAGTGAGGGTGACAATGATAGCAATGACACTGATGGTGACAGTGGTAGTAATGACACTGATGGTGACAGTGGTAGTAATGACACTGATGGTGACAGTGGTAGTAATGACACTGATGGTGACAGTAATGGCAGTGACATTCGTGATGACAGTGACATAGTTACAGTAAGGGTGACAGTAATGGCAGTGACATTGGTGATGATGGTGACGTAGTTACAGTGATGGTGACAGTAATGGCAGTGACATTGGTGATGACGGTGACGTAGTTACAGTGAGGGTCATATATATGGCAGTGACATATATATGGCATATATATATAAACTATATGGCACACAAACTATATGGCACACAAACTATATGGCAGGGACATTCGTGGTGACGGTGACTGTGTAACAATGACGTGTGTTGTGGCACAGCGCAGTGTGTGGTGTGGCATAGTGTTATGTGCTGTGCTGTGTGTGGTGTGGCATAGTGTTACGTGCTGTGCTGTGTGTGGTGTGGCATAGTGTTACGTGCTGTGCTGTGTGTGGTGTGGCATAGTGTTACGTGCTGTGCTGTGTGTGGTGTGGCATAGTGTTACGTGCTGTGCTGTGTGTGGTGTGGCATAGTGTTACGTGCTGTGCTGTGTGTGGTGTGGCATAGTGTTACGTGCTGTGCT